AATGAGATATCACCTCACACCAGTAAGGATCGCCACCATCCAAAAGACAAACAACAACAAATGTTGGCAAGGTTGTGGAGAAAGGGGAACCCTCCTACACTGCTGGTGGGAATGTAAATTAGTTCAACCATTGTGGAAAGCAGTATGGAGGTTCCTCAAATGCTTAAAATAGAAATACCATTTGACCCAGGAATTTCACTTCTAGGAATTTACCCTAAGAATGCAGCAGCCCAGTTTGAAAAAGACGTATGCACCCCTATGTTTATCGCAGCACTATTTACAATAGCCAAGAAATGGAAGCAACCTAAATGTCCATCAGTAGATGAATGGATAAAGAAGATTTGGTACATATACACAATGGAATATTATTCAGCCATAAGAAGAAAACAAATCCTACCATTTGCAACAACATGGATGGAGCTAGAGGGTACATGTTCAGTGAAATATGCCAGGCAGAGAAAGACAAGTACCAGATGATTTCACTCATATGTGGAGTATAAGAACAAAGAAAAACTGAAGGAACAAAACAGCAGCACAATCACAGAACCTAAGAATGGACTAACAGTTACCAAAGGGAAAGGGACTGGGGAGGATGGGGGGAAGGGAGGGATAAGGGCCGGAAAAAGAAAGGGGACATTATAATTAGCATGCATAATGTGTGTGGGGGGGGTATGGGGCGGGCTCTACAACACAGAGATGACAAGTCGTGATTTTACAGCATCTTACTACGCTGATGGACAGTGACTGTGAAGGGGTATGTGGGAGGGGCTTGATGAAGGGGGGAGCCTAGTAAACATAATGTTCTTTGTGTAATTGTAGATTAATGATACCAAATAAAAAAAAAAAGACAGCAAAGAAAAAAATCATTCTGGCATTCAGATAGCATTTACTTCATATCACCTGACATCAGCAGGCAAATGGGATACATTAAAGGTTTCTAATTTTGTTGCTTATTTTTGGGCTGCTTTTAATTTTTTATTAATTATGATTCATTGTAGCATCTTGTTAAATAATTGTCAACTTCAGTTTTCTACTCTGAGGAGGTCTAAAAACTGAGACTGGCAAAGTAACAGGATCAAAAAACAAAGAAAAATCCAAAAACTTCTAAATTCCACTTCCCCAGTGAATTCCTTCCCCAGCTTCCCCAAAAGCCACAATGCTGTATCAGTGGATCACAGCCCCTTTAAAGCAAGGTCAGAGTGGTGGCGGACATTAAGATTCAGCCAAATAACTTGACTAAGCCATCTTGGACACTGAAGCTGCCCATTGTTCTTACCTCAAAACTCTTTCGTAAAGCATCAACGCCAAGATAGAAAAGCATCTGCCATGTCTGCTCTTCTGCTCGTAGTTTTTGCCAGATTCGATGCAGTCTTTCGTAAAGATGAATTCCCAAGCAGGTCAGAACTTCTTCTTGAGCTATATCTATTGTCTTAGCATGCCTTTCTCTTCGCCTATAAAGGCGGGGGAAAAAAAAAAATCACACGTAATTCCTGAACACTTAACTGAAACAGTTAAAGATGGATAACGTATCTTCAAGTTCAGCTTTTAAACACAATCTGCACACCTAATAATCTAATAGCAAGACAATTAAACATTGAAACTCAATGTTTATAAACATCCATGCACATATGTATATAACTGTAATTCCTGAACACTTAACTGAAACAGTTAAAGATGGATAACGTATCTTCAAGTTCAGCTTTTAAACACAATCTGCACACCTAATAATCTAATAGCAAGACAATTAAACATTGAAACTCAATGTTTATAAACATCCATGCACATATGTATATAACTAAAGAGAAATACACGAGCAGGTAGAACTGAGTCCTAATACTGCTAAAAATAAGGTAATTCAGGAACCGGCCTTAAAGAGATGTTTTTCTGGACACAGAGAAGTCATACATATGTATACAGTTCAGAGCGGACATGACAGTTCCCTTTACCTTCCAAGTAATGCACATGCCTATTTGATTTCTGTCTCTTTTATTTGAGGGGGAATACAGAGAGGCAATGCCAAAGATTCAATCACAGGCAAAGGCTCAAAGGTTCTCTAGGCCAATCTTTAGTAGGATTGTTCACAGAACTTCAGGGATAAAATAACTTCATATTCTAAATGCCAAGCAAAAAGTAGGCACTCAAATGAGAGCTGGTACACAAAACACTAAAGGAAACAGGTTCAATGTATTGTAATGCACAATTTTTTCTTATTTTATTTTTACAACAAAGCCAGTAGATAAAATTTTAGGTCCCCATATGATTTAATAATAATAATACATACTGTTCATGAATTACACTCAACAAAGTATTTCTTAACCCCCTTTTGCAAAAAACCTCACCGCCTGTGCAAAAACTATCATTATGAACACAATTTAAACATGGAAATGCATGGATGGAGGGGAAAAAAATCACTTCTATCATTTTCAAATGAAAATGATAATCTACAGTAATGAAGGCCAGAAAAGCCTATATACTTGAAGCAACAAGGAGCAGAAGACTGAACCAAACACCACAAAACACTTTCTCCCTATTTTTACTCAATTAAGAAATGCATATTTTGAAAAAGCAAAATATTTACAAGCATACCTTAATTTTTATATATACATACACACACACACACACACACACACGTGTGTGTGTGTGTGTGTGTGTATGTATATATATATGTACTGATCAGAAGTGATGGAAATAAACTTTCAGGAATAAAATGAAGCAAAGCGCTAGATAGCCCATTCTAGCAAATTACATACTCATACCCTCCTGCGAACTCTGGCTCAGCACGACCCAAAAGATGTGCAATGAAGTCTGTTTCACAGCAAACATGTATGTGTCGTTCATGTGGACAGCACCGCAAACCTTCATAGAGTGCAGCACAGTAGCCCTTCTCTTTGCTGCAATCAAGTTCACCAATAAGGATATTGTATGCTCGGAGGACTTTATTTTTGCAATCAGTGCAAAACCTGTTGAAAAGAAAAATCTTAAAATTAAGAACTGGCTGTGTAATTCATGAGGCATATTATAGTGTACTATATGACACTCCCCTCCCATATAAAGCATTTTAAAAAGCCTACATATACACATGGAAAACATACACACATTAAGGTAAATATAAATTTAGGGATTACATGAGCATAGCTAGATCTCCATTTGCAAATGAGCTTTAAATCAGAGAAACACATTGGTCCAAAAGAATAAGGCAGACATACACCTGTTAGTTTATAAAATACATGCTCAGAAATATTAGCTGCCAAGGACTAACATAGCTTTTCATACAGGTCAATAATAAAACAAAGGAGGCTGCAAACCAATGACCCACAGGATACCTTTCAGTCTCTGAAAATAGCTGGTATCTTCACCAGTAAACCTTGATTCAGATATTTACTATACCATTTTAATACATGACTAGCTAAGCATTTGGGGAGTGTGGGGAAGCAAGAAGAATGGGATAGCAGACATGTGTTTTTGGTTTGCTGGTAATTTCCAAAATATCAAATTCTTTCTTCCCCCAAAAATGCAAGTTTCTCAATACACAGTCATAAAATGATCAACATATACATAGAAATAGGCTTAAACTCAAGTGCATATAAGGTGGCTGAAATGTAGAAGAGCATATGAATACAGAGGAAGAAGAAATTTTCTTTCAGAAGAAAAAAGAATAGAGCCTGGTTTATCTTTGAATTCAGCAAACAAGGAAGAACTTGGTCTGATGAAAAAGGCATTCTCAAAATATTAACTGTCCCTCTCAGAAGAACAGCTGTGGTGGAATGAGGAAATTTTTATCTCTTAGATTTAAGGGAGCTCATTTCTTAAATATCTCGAGGTGAGCTCTATTCGCATGGCTTCTGCCAACACGTCTTGACTCTGTTCAAGTCTCCACCTTTGGCCTGAGGGCCAAATACACACTGAAAAATGAGGGACATCAGAGATGTCCAAAAGGCAACATGTTAAACTCACTGTCCAAAATGAATGGCAACACATTCCCTTCCATTCCTGTTAAGAATATCGTCAGTCACCCATGATGGAAATGGTTAATTCCTACTTCTCCCTAGATTCTCCTTTTAGGGGTAAAACCAATTGCTATCAATTCTTTCTTACACCTTCTATGGGTCCCTTCTTTTCCATTCCCTCTGTCCTGTTTCAAACAAATTAGCTAATTTTATGAAAAGCTTCTTAACTGGCTTCCTTGCTTCTACTCTTCCCAGATCTCTCTCTCACACCAAAACAATTTTTTCAGACAAATCTGATTATCTCACTCTTTGCTTAAAAACCTCTTCTCCATGAATAGAGTTCAAACTCCTTATATAGAAGGCCTCCAGCAACCTTTCCTGTTACTCAACCTACTATTTCCAGCCTTATTTCCCAACTCACTTCTCCCTACATGCTTCTCCCTACTCTAACCTGCCCCCATAACAAACCATATACAAAATGCACTTGAAAATAGTTGATGTATCCCTACTTCCAAGTCTTTTTTTCTTCTGCCTCCCCTCCACATCCTTCTCCATTTGCATAAATAAACAATACCTTCCTTGAAGAAGCCTTCTGCAATTCCTGTAACTAGAATTCAACCTTCCTGTGTTCCTAGTATTTCTGATCTACACCACAGTTCTTACTATAGTATTTACCCTTATATTGCCATGCATCAGTTTGACACACACATCTTTTTGGCCCAATATTAGATAACTGTGTTTCTTGAAATGAACATATGATAAGAGGCTGTAAGCCTACTTGGTAAACAGAGACAATGATGATAAGTGAACTTCAATCATTATGTTTCACCAATGCTTCAAAAGCAAACAAATATACAAACAAAAATTAATTCAAAATGGGTTAAAGGCCTAAACATTAAGACCCGTAACTATAAAATCCTAAAAGAAAACACAGGGAGAAAAATTTCATGACACTGGAGTAGGTGATGATTTCTTGGATATGACAAAAGCAAAAATAGACCAATGACACTACATCAAACTTAAAAACTTCTGTGTAGCAAAGGGAACTCTCAAGAGTGAAAGACAACCTATGGAATGAAGAAAATATTGCAAACCACATACTGGAGAAGGGGTTAATATCCAGAATCTATAAACTCTTACAACTCAGTAACAAAACCATAACCTGACTAAAAAATGGGCAAAGAACATTAAGAGACATTTCTCCAAAGAACAGATATACAAATAACTAACAAACACATGAAAAGATGCTCAACATCACTAGTGATCAGAGAAATGCAAATCAAAACCATGTGATTTCACCTCACACACCTTAGTATGACCACTATCAAAAAAATAGAAAATAACGAGTGTTGGCAAGGATGTGGAGAAACTGAAATCCTTGCATATTATTGGTGGGATTGTAAAATGAGGCTACCAGTATGGCAAAAGGTACGGCATTACCATATGATCCAGCAATCATGTGGTATAGATCCAAAAGAATGAAAACAGGATCTGAGAGAGAGATCTGCACTCCTATGTTCACCTCAGCATCATCCCAATAGCCAAGATGTGGGAACAACCTAAATGCCCACTGAGAGGTGATATGGTGGTATATGAGGACAATGGGGTATTACTTAAAAAAGAAGGAAATTCTGTCATATGCTACAACATGAATGAACCTTGAGGACATTATGCTAAGTGAAATAAGCCAATCACAAAAAGACAAATAATGCATGATTCCAGCTGTGTAAGTTATCTAAGGTAACTGAACTCACAGAAACAGACAACAGCACAGCAGTTGCAAGGAGTTGTGCAATGGGTACAGTTTCAGTCATACAAGATGAAAAAATTCTAGAGATCTGTTGTACAACATACGTGTATATAGTTAACAATACTGTAAATGTTCACTTAAAAACTCTTAAGAGGGTAAATTTATGTATTGTGGGTCTTTTTTAACCACAAGAAAAAAAGGCTTCCCCTTAGGGGGAGAAATGGACACGGGCACAGAAATAACAACACATACTTCCACATTTTCAGGTTATAAAAGGTTAAGTTTACGTTTTCAGGTAAACAGATGGTTAAATGTCATATAGTACCAGTAACAGAACTTGAAATTCTACTTCCCCCACATTTTACTGCTTTAAATTTTCAGAATAGCTTAGTATGTTTGATTGTACATAATCACAAGTCCCTTAAGCATAAACAGCAATTTAAAAATATTTCACAGAAGCTGTAAGAATAAAAGTGGTTTTTCCTGTTTTCAAAAATAACGTTGCACATAAACGTAAAACACATTGTTTTAAAGCAGAAGTTTCACAGGTTTCCTGACACCTCATTTCTAACAAAGTAATATCATAATGCCTAACTAGCTATAATTAGTGTCATCAAATCTTTATTATAAAGTGCTCAGATAGTCCACCAATAAAGTATAAGTGCCAAAAAAAGTACATTATTTAGATGTTTAGGAATCATTTTCAACTGACTGTCAAAAATTCAAACTGTAACTAAACAAGAACTACATACACAGGAATAACAAGGGCTTGCAAATCTGGCATGCTAATGTTCACTGATGTGCTTATGTGCCAGACACTATGCTAAGGAAGCCTCACTATGCATCATCAATGATCAGTACTATAGCTTTTTCTATCTTAAAGAAAAAAATCGAGGCACGGAAAGTAACTTGTACAAAGTTACAATCAAGAGAACCCAGATTTGATGCAATCTCCCTTAATTACTTTCTTAATCGTAACTCTCCCTGTGCTTAAGATATTTATAAAATGGATTTCATTTTCTTATAAAAATACCACCATGGGAAATATCTACAACCATTATAGGGAACTCCACTACAGAAGCTCTGATAACTAGTCTTATCACCCAAAAAAACTACCTTTGGATGGACCAATTAATATTGAATATAAGGATCAATTCATATTATAAAAGGAAGGAATCTGTAAGGGGCCTATACATATATGTTTTTTATCTATATAATCTCCCTCCAAATCTCTTAAATTAACTGACACATTCTCTACTCTCTTGGGTATAATCAACCAAAAAGGCAAATAAACAAGGAAATTTCTAATAAAAAAAGAGAAACACTGAATAAACAGGTTAAATCATTAGCTCATTGCCATATAAACACCAATATTGATAATGCCAGTTTTTATCATTCATGTATATTTTCTACACGTTCCCAAATTACTTGGGCCCATCTGTCCCAAGGTCAAAGAACACACACTACAAACCAAACATGTGACAAATTTATATTAAAACAACTGCCCCCAAGAATGCCATCTCTAGAGGGCTCCCTTACCAGTTTCCTTTCCTACTGCACTCTCCCTCCCTATGAATTTCCAAATGTTAATGACACTTAGAAATTTCCTTTGTAAAGTAGTATTCTAAAAAGAAAAATCTGAAGTTACTTTCATAGTACATGAAGGACACAAATTCCAATTCTATTTTTAGGTCTTGACAATTATAGAAGAAATAATTCAAACTAAGTGAAAGCTGCTCATTTAACTTCAATTTTTAAAATGACACCATGAAATGTTTCTATCATAAAAACAAGGAGTACTAGAGTTTCCAAAGTGAGGAAGTACACTTTATTCAATTTAGTCATTGTCCTTCTTAAATGGCTGGCATGGAACCAACAGGTAAGAATTACAAAAAATTAAGCTCCACCTAGTGCCAGGTATTTATGGGAAGACTGGAGTATAATTACATGGAGGAGGTCAGTGACAGGTCAAGTAGATGACAGGCAGCTAGGGCACCTTTCAACTAAAATGTGATAACTTATAGACTTACCGGTGTTTTCGCAGATACGTTTCTAGCGTTTCTAAAAGACAACTAGAGTCAATTAAAACTACTTCATCCCTGCATTCTTGGGACATAAGTTCCCATACGTCCATCCAACAGCCTCTGCAGAAAGAAACAAATATTAGTGAAAAGGAAGAATATACAAGGGTAGAACATTTAAAAAGCAGAGTAAAGGATTGCTTGATTTTACCTGGCTGTTCCCTGGAAAGGTCCATAATGGAAAATGATCCTACACTTGCTGTCCTTCCTGTGGTCTTCACTACTTCTCTTATCTGTACTTAACTTCTCTGAACTGACACTGTTACTGCTGCCTTCACTGTAGTACAGTATAGTACAAAACTTAGTGACACTGAAGTAATCTCAAGGAATAATTTCTACAGTCTAAATTAAAATCATGAACTCTTTAAAACATTATTAGTACAATATATATTGCAAATCTGTATATAATTACATATTCACTTTAACCACATTAAAATATTACTTAAATGTGTTCATATTTTTACTTCTGGTCAACTACTAAGTTTACTTGATATAACTTAACAACATTTGCATTTACCAAGATAGCAACTGGTTAATATACTAAGCATTTTATGAATAAATCTACTTGGAACGTTTTAAATTCAAAAGGGCTGAAAAAATATATAAAATATTTTCACCTATAAACACAGGTCAATCTTCCACAAATTCAAAGTTCTAACAAGTTTTGATCTACTTACTGTGATTTTATAGCTAGCCCCTGGTAACAAAACTCTTACCTACACTCACATTTGTGAGTAGCTGGGAAAGTTACAGATTAATTAAATAAAATTTTACACTTACTAAAATAAAGGTAACATACTAAAATGAACACTTTATACAGCCTAAATCAGTGATAAGTGCTATACAAATAATTGTTTAAAAACTTACTAAAAACTTCCTAGACTCTCCCTCCCCCACAGGTTTCAATGTGGTGCTGGTCATGCATTTGCTTTGTTTCAGATGTGGATTCCAAGAAAAATGTGTGTCTATATCCCATTCAATGACAGTCTTCTGATTTTTTTCATGATTCTGAACAACTGGTTCCTGCCTGTTCTTCTCTGCAGGTCTCACTACAGTCCTAGAAATTCATTATCTTGGATACCTGAGATGGAAAAACCTGTGAATCTTTACTTTACCTACTCTATATAGCTAAGCATTTCTCAATCCCCTGCCCACCAAGTAAGGTCATACACACAATTCAGCTCCCTACTCCATCACAAGGGCTCAAGCCAAAGTTCAGCACTCCTTATTTTTGAAACAACCTCTACTACTCCTGTCTTCCATGCCACATCCTTCTCTCAACTCCCTTATTTCTTCTTTTTCTGATTATGCTTGAGTGATCCATAAACTCCTAAAACTGAGTAACTCTAAAACTTTAAGTTTTCATTACCGAGGAAAAGGTTCATGAAATTAGGGCTGGGAAATTATTTTATCATCAGAATGTGAGAGCAGTACTCTTTAAAAAGCTTTACTCAAGACAAATGCTGGGCATAGATTCCACAGGGCATAAATCTGCAAAGAAGTAAAAAGCTAACCTTTTCAAACAACATTGCTTCTCTCTCACTTACCAACTTTACATCTCCCTGTATGGCCCCGGAAGATGACTGGTTAGCCAGAGACGGGTAAGATTCCTCAAGGGAGGAACAACCTAAGACAGGCACAGTCGCAGGGGAGGCCATCAGGTGAGAAATTGGGGATCAACAGAGGTGAGGCTTAGAACTTCACCCCCCGTTTTGAGAGAAATCTTCTGCATCCGTGGATGTTTTAATGCCCTTGTCTAGCTTGTATTAACACATAGTCTACAGGCACACACCTGATCATCTACAATTGCTCTCTTACAACACTAAACTATGTTTTCTACCTTTATCTTGCATCTACCTACCACTTCAGCATTTTATTAAAAATAAAAATAATAATAATAATAAAGGGAGAAATGTGGGATCCACATA